CGGACGTGGGGAAGCAGGGGGCAGAGCAGCTGGCGTGCTACCGGGTTGGTCCCTCAGCACCGAGGGGCAGTGCTATGGGACCAACCCAGGAGCACCCCAGCTGCTCTGCCCCAGGCGCCCCTATTTAGCCGCTTCTGAAACTGACCAGCAGCTGATTCCCAGAAGCCCGGGGCAGAGCCGGACTATCAGAAAGGGGGGGTTATCAGGGGTCTGGGGTGGCATCCTCCCCACACCACCCTAGACCCTTCATAGCCCCCCCTTCCGTTAGTCCGGCATATCTGATAATCCGGCACCCCCTGGGTCCTAAACGTGCCGGATTATCGGAAGTTTACTGTAGGTGCAAAATAAATGCTTGTGATAACAATCACCCCTTGATGAAGCTCTTTTTTATGGGAATTATGCAAGATAATGTTTCTAGTAACAAGGTGAGGTTCCTTGCCTGCCTATATTTGGACATGACTAGCCTACGTCATGGGTCTAGTATTGGAATAACTTGTTGGATCACTATAGTCACACAAGAAAGGTGAAGTCTGTAAGGGAGAGCTGGTAAAAATGAGCATAGAAAATGGATCTCTGGAAGCAGCAGGTCTTGATTCATCAATGCATTTAAGCATATTCATAACTTAAGTGATTGGAATTACTCAGAAATTTACATTTAAGCAGATGTATAAGTGCTTTGCTGGATCAGACATATGTAGGAAGTGAGTACTGTGCTTTATTAATATTCACAGTCATATTAATGCCAATAATATAATTTCATTATGAAGGCCTAATGCTACAAGATGTTAAGCTCTCCCTGTGTGGTATCACTTTACACCCTGGAGAAAAAGATCTTTGTATTTGTAAGTTCTTCAGTGCAGGGACATTGTTTCTAAACTAATTTGCTGCTGGAGAAAGAATTATAATAGGAGTGGTTCTTAGCAATTCCTAGAATCATGGGGCTTTGATAACAACCCATGGAGCCACTACACGTAAATAATAATTGCATCTTGACTAGATTCCACATTTATCCTAGCTGTTATGGAGTAATTTGAAAATAGAGAAAGAAAATGTTTTCTCTTGACTGAATTGAATTTCTGTCCTCCAAAATTATCAACATCTAAACAATTTCTGTGTCATTCTCTAATAAAAGCAGAACTATGATGCCCATGAACAATTGCCAAAATGTATAAGTAGATGAAAATTATGTGTAGCAAATGACATTCTGCACTACAGATTTTGAGCATTGAATGTTTCAGTCTTTTGGACTGAGGACAGATTTACCATGCACAAATCTTGTGAGCCTGTGGATTGTTTTCTATTCTCTGTTGTGTTTAATCATAAATTCTAACAACTATGGCTTAATAACACATATCATATTAGAGTGTGGAAAGTCAAGCCCCTACCTTTGTAAAGAGTGATGTTTGTACTATGCTTTGTAATTAAAGTTTAAGCATGGTGAGCCTTTAGAACAGAATCAAAGTCATTTGTAATATATACCAATTATCATCAGAGGGAAGTATTTTCCCACTGTTGGCTGAGTTGATTGTTTGTATGAATCATTAGTTCAGAAGTATTCATCTTGAGTTGTTTGTTGCTACAATGCTGTTCAAGCATATCATTAAATGAAGGAAAAATGTTATAGTGAAAATTAATGTATCATCTGTGTTAAATTCCTAAGAAGAGTAACACTTATTTTATATCATTGATGCAGTGCCATTAGAGTGAATATGCTTTACAAGCCAAAGACATAAATGAGGTGTTATCCTCATTTATACTAAAGGGTCTTTACACCACTTTGCTCTTAAAGTGGGTGCACATTATCAGAGCAAAGATAATCAGACCCATGAGCTGAACTCTGAGAAACTTACCCGCTAGGGTCCTGGTTCTGAAATGAGCTCCACTAGAATGGACTCCTGCATCCAGGCAAAATCCCCCAGAAGTGAATGGGGCTCTGTAATGTAGACCCACAATAAAGAGTCAGTTTACAGAATTGATATTTTTGTTATATAAAACCGGATGTGAACAGAGAGAACATGTGATGATGTGGTGGGGCAGAAGGATGCAGATTTTCAGAACTACTGAACATCTACCTCTTCCCTCCCACTGAAGTCAGTAAGAGCTGCTGCTGAACAATGGCTTTGAAAATTGAGCTGTGTAAGGCCCTTGGTGTTCTCGGTCCTGCACTGCACATGTTGTGGGTGTTTTCCTGCCCTTCTGTTCTTTATATGACTCTATTTATGTTAATTTATCCCAGAAGTGGTGGTCAGTGTAGCAACAGCTCTTGTGTGGTTTTGGGTGGGATGTTCCAAAATTCTCAGCCCTGGCCTAAATATGTTGCTCTTCCACTGAAGTCAATAGGTGTTTTCTATTGATGTCAGTGAGAGCAGAGTTAGGCTGATAAATTCCACATTTATCCTTGAAGGGAATTAATACTGAAGGTCCTAAACGTGCCTTATATCTGAGACACTCTCTCTCTCTCTCTCGCTCTCTCTTTCTCTCGATATAGATATAGATATAGATATAGATATATATGCGCATCTGCTGTCACCAGAACAGTTTGTTTTGCTCTGTTGGTTTGTGTATGCTGAAGTGTTTCATGCATTTGAACACTTCACTGTCTCTGCAGATTTCAGTTCAAGTGTCATAATATAAAGCTATTTCCCTTTTATTTTTTATTTGTTACTGTCTTAGTTTTTGTACATTACCAGTAAAGTACAAGAACTTGAAATGCAGATGATAGTATTATTTTTGCATCCTCTAATTTATTGTAATGTTTCCACATTATTTACATATTTTGTTACTATTAAATTAATCTAACCTAAAATATTACCTAAGAAGAGTGATGAGGAGAGGATCTGTTAGCCAAAGAAAAGAAGTTAAAAATCCAGGGACTCCACCCGCTTTGTTGAATACCTTGCCACAATCACCTTGCTTACGAAACGAGAGTCTGGCACCTGTGTTTTGCTATTGCAGTCAGTTCAGAAATGCTTGTACCTAATTTAGAGCCTGATCCAATTCTACTGAAGTCCATGTGAGCCTTTATGATGACTTTAATGGGAGTTGGATCAGGCCCCTTAATTAGCATCCCTTGTCAAATCTAGAGAAGTATTGGAAATAGGCATATTGGAAAGCAGGGCAGGATCAGATGCTTAATGCATGGGTAGATGAGTGGGACTCCAGGGACTTCCCTTCCCCCCCCCTCCTCCAGCTCTAGCTGCAGGATGGAGGCCTTGGTTTATCATCTTAATAACAACTCCACAATATACACAGACCTTTCCTCTGCTGTCACCCAGGATGTTTCAAGATATCCTTGGCAAAATCCACCGGTGTTTATAAAAAGGAACTGCAATCCTGCATGCCATCCTTTTCTCAGAGTAGCACTCTCTAGTGACAATATGCAACCCATGCACGTGCAGAGGGTCATAGCCATCAAATCTCTCTGCGTTCAAGGGTCTTTCAATGAAAATATGTGCCACCTGCAGAGACACTGCCATGACTTTAGTCCTGTAATTTACATTTGGCATTTTTGAGGCTTCCTGAAGCCTGTCAGTGGAATGTTTTTCACTGATTAGTTTTAAATTGGAATAAAACCAACATTTGTATTTGAATTTAAAACTTCCCCTGGAACTTAAACAAAGGCTTCCCTTTCACATGATTGACTTTGAACTCAGTGGAGTTGCTCACACGCTTAATGTTAAGCTCATGCATTAGTGAACCTAACTCATTGAGTAGTATTGACTAGACCATTTAGGAGCACTGGGTAAACAAACATCAGGGATGATGAAAAGTAAAGTTGTCTTTACATATTCCTTTAAACCCCCTTCAATTTGACAGTGCTGTAATTAACAGAGACAAGAGAGTTTTGTTGTTCAGTAGTCAGATTTTTGACCCTTTAGTTATAGAATCATAAATTACTAGAACTGGAAGGGACCTCGAGAGGTCACCCAGTCCAATCCGCTGCCCTCGTGGCAGGACCAAGCACCGTCTTGGCACTCTAGTGGACAAAAGTCAAGCAAAAATATACAGTGGTGCAGCAATTGCAGGGTAACATCCTCATCCACCCTCAGAACTGTAAAGATGGCAGACTGGGTAAAGCCTTGATGACTTTAGTGAGGCTTTGTACAGGTGCAGGAGGTCTGCTTGACACAGAATCACTTGCAGTATTGGGCCCTGAAATAGTGTCATTTACCTTGATAGCTATTGGTCTGCTTTTATTCCATGTTTATGACCACGATCTCCCAGCCCCTCTGATTATAAGACCAGTTGGCACCTTTTGCACAGTGGCAGGTTAACTCTGTGTTTTCTACCATTTCCTGCAGGCATCCCCAGCTGCACTAGCAAAAAGCGTTTTGGCTGAAGTTCCAAATCAAGTGGTGGACTATTACAATGGCAAAGGGATTAAACCAAAATGTATGTCAGAGTATGAGTCTTCCAGGACAGTAGTGCCATGAACTTCCCCGCACCCTTTTACAGAGTTCAAAACTGCTACTACTACAACTACAGTACTTTAAAACAACAACATAGCACGTTTTGGTGATTTTTAACTAAAATAATTTTTTTGCATGTGTAGCCTAAAGGCTTGAATCTGTTAAGCAGTTGTTATTGTTGAAAACTTTTTATGAAAAGAAGGAAACTAACTCTTTGCATTACAGCATGTCGCCTTGAAATAAAAAAAAAAGTTATCTGTATCTGGTTTTTATACAGGTTTGTTGAAATTTTGCTAAATTTCTTATTATCTTTCCACTGTAAAGCATTTTGAAACATTTGAGAGCTGATGGCCAAAATATCTTTGGTTTTATCTGCTGTGAAACGAAAGATTTTTCAAAATGGCAGATGCATGAACTGTATTTTGCATGTTTAAAATAAAAACAACACAGTTTTGCAATTGTTGTCTTTATTTCTCTCTTGCCTTAAAGTTGCCTGCTCTAAACCTCGTAGTCAGCACACTGTACTTAAAGGAAAGAATGACCAAAACATTCTGTGATGCTTCTGAAAAATCACACAGCCCATAGCATGGACATGTCTAATGATGGCAGCTTATAACAAGGGTTCCCAAACAAACTCAGCCAGTTTACTGGCTCCATTGCAACTCATCTAGAGACTAAGGGCATATCTGATTAGTGTAACATTAGCAGACTATAGTTGCATTTCTCTTTACTATGGAGAGATGGTCCTTGAGGCTACGTTGCTTGAGTGTCATGTTCCATCTTGATCCACACAACTTGAATGACTGGTATATGGGCAACATTTTGGCCACCTTTGATTTATAATCAGGTGTGGTTTTGAGTTATTTTGTTTGTATTTTTCATTTCATTCACAATACTGAATTTTGGCTTGAAGCATGACCCAAGACAGATTTTGCATGGCCTAATTTTTACAAAGCAAATAGCTTGAAGGCTTCGTTCAGCCGGAGTTTGCCTGTGTACAATGAAAAAGCTGTTTTATAAGACTATTAGAGCTACTTTCTTAATGGGATAGGGAGGAAAATAACAAATTTTGTTTACATTTAGAATTTCTCCATTAACAAAAATCAGGTGATCACTTCTAGAGTTTGAGTTCTAACATCTGGTTTTTCACAATACACGACAGCTAAACACAAAACCAGTTAAAAGATGAGGTTGCAATTTGGGGCAAAAATAGCTATTTCGGGTGAGACATTGTGCCAAAGCTCTCAGTATTGAACTAACTCTGCTCCCATTGAAGTCAATGAGAGTGCTGCCATTGGCTCCAACCGAATCAGGCCAATGGTGAACGCTTTGGATAATTCCACCCTTAAACTCTAGGTTGCTGGGGTTTTTTATGTGTTTAAAAGCATGGATTTCAGCATAATATATGGTTTTAGTTTTCTTGTTTTCATTTAAAAATACTTTCCAAAGAATCTGTTTTGATAGATGGTTTCGTAGTGTACAATGAAGATAATGTGTGTCTGTGAAGTGTGCAGCTAACTGCCCAGTACATTTCACTTATATTGCATCTATGCCCTTGCAGAGCAGTTTCTCTAGCTGCCTAATAAATATTCCTTCGGGTGATCTCATGTTGAACAGCCAAGATACCTAGTGGCCAATTTTACTTGGTCGTAGGTGTAAATTGTCTATAGATGTCCCAGGCGATAGATCTCAAATCCACTTTTTCATTAAATGGTTGACTGTGCACTTAGGGTCTGTGTCAGCTGATAGCAGCCAGCGCCAGTGTGCAGCAGATTTCTCCCTCTATGGATGTATTTTTGCAAGAAAACACAGTGATTTCTTCTATCATAGAAAGCACAGCTCTGCCAAAGCATCTTATTCCTGACCTACAGCACCTTGTTGTCCAATTCCTGATTTTCCTCTTATTTTGGTCTTTTTTTTCCACTTCCAAAGGAAGCTTTATCATCTGAGTGGTTCAAGCACAGAACTGGAATTCATTAGTTGTGTGTTTCTAGCTTTGCCACTGACTTCTTGTGTGATCTGGGACGAATGGTTTAATTTCTTTGCACTTCAGTGTCCTTATCTGCAAAATGGGATGATAACTTTTAATGAATTGAACTGCAAAGGAGTGTTGTGTGACTCAGTTCATTAATTTTTGGAAGCTGCTTTGAGGTCCCAAAAGGCAAGATGCTGCATTCAGGGAAAGAAAACATTTTTCATGACCTGCAAATTTAATAGACCGCCCATTTCTTTTTCTTGTCACGGTCTTTCATCAACTTACAATTAACAGAGAAGAAACAATATCAGTACACATTAACTGCATATAGCTGCTTAACTTAAGCACATTGATTGCTGCTTAACTAAAAGGGTGAGATGGTAGGACAATTAGGGTGTGTCTAGACTACACCTGTCTGTTGACAGAGAGATATAGATTAGGCACATCGAAATTGCTAATGAAGCCGGGATTTAAATATTCCGTGCCTCATTAGCAACTTTTTTTTCAAAACGGAGGGTTTTTTAAAAAACCCAACAATCTAGACACGGATCTGTCGAAAATAAAGCCTTTTTCGACAGATCCTGTATTCCTCAAAAAATTAGGTTTACAGGATCTGTCAAAAAAGGCTTTATTTTCAACAGATCCGCATCTACACGGCCAGGTTTTTTTTTTTTTAAACGACGTTTCCAAAAAAGCAGCAGCCATGTTTATGCTAATGAGGCACGGGATATTTAAATCCCGGCTTTGTTAGCAATTTCGATGTGCTTGATTTGCATCCCTCGATAGACAGAGGGATGCAGTCTAGACATAGCCTAAATGTGCACCAACAGAATAAAATCCCTTTTCTAAAAGAGAGGAGTTAGTAGTATCAAATGCTAAAGTTTCTATAAATAATGATAATTTGATGGAGCACTTTGCTACTTACCTAACTTTGCATAATGAGAGCCAATACAAAATTTGGAAGAGATATAAACTGAGTGCATCAGGGCTTAAATCTATCTCTAAGTATTAGCAAACAGGATGAGACCTAAGTGAAGGGCATATCGATCTACTGCAGATTTCTTACACCTGCCTCTGAAAATATTTCTGCACAGCAATTGTGCAACGTGATTCCCAGCAAGGGTAAAAATATGTTTACTAGTTCTGCTTGCAGCTATGCCTACAAACAGAAGGGTGGTTGCAGTAATACAGGCTGTGGCTCAGGCTCGCCATCCAAGGGACAGGGTAGGATTGCAGCTAGTCCAAATTGCCACTACACTTTATTCTATTCTATGAAATAAGCACTGTGGATGAGACTTGTTAAACCATGGCTATACTTACACACAGGAGATCGATTCTCTGGCATTTGATTTAGTGAGTCTAGTTAAGACCCACTAAATTGAACACTGAGGATATAAGTACTCCTCGCAGTCACAAGGAGTAAGGAAAGCTGATGGTAGCATTTGCTCCCATTGACCTCGCACTGTGAAGACTGTGCCAAACTCAACTTAAGGTATGTCAACTCCAGCTACATTATTTATGTAGCTGGAGTTGTCTCTCTTAAACCAACCTTCCAGATCTAGTGTTTGCCCAAAAAATCTACAGAGAACCCTGACCTGTCCAACCTTAAGACAGAATCTTCAGGGGGTATCTGAGTTAGTCCGTTACAGAAAAAAACAGCAAGCAAATGGTCTGCACTTTATAGAATCATGTATACCATCTACATGTTTTTTATTCTATAAAGTGCTACCAGATAATTTGCTTGCTGTTTTTTAAGACAGAATAGTAACCCTGAATTACAGAACTGTAATTCTAATTGAATTAAAGGAAATGTGAGAAATACTAATATTTAAAGATATTATTCATCACAAAGACATTAATATCTGTTGAACTGGGTCTCCAGCAGAGCTAGCATGTATATGTCTACCCACACTGGAAATTACACCACTCAGCTGCTGTATAGAGATATCCAAAGCATCTGTTCCTGCCATAGTTAGATAAACAACTGGTCTGATCCAGTCTAGCAGTTCCTATGTTTCTATCTATTGGTGTTGCATGGATTTTCTGTTCAGTAAAGTCAGTGTTTAGATTCATAATTCCAAGGCTTGAAGAATCCATTATGATCACCTAACTCACCTACTGCACATTTGCCATAGCCACCTTGGCATTTTGTGTTGCAAATGACATAATATAGCCTTGCTTTGGATAACTCACCCTCCATAGGTTTTGGGGAATTGCAGCTTCACTTAGTAATGCTCAGCGAGTGGAGTGGTGCTCACAATTTGGGAGAAGGTTGTTCTGGTCTACATCATGGTTTTGCAGCCTATTGGTTGGTGAACCTGGTTTCAGGGCCAGCTCGAGCCATTCCTGTGCCCCGGGCAGCAGGAGCGTGACGCATGCGCGGCTCTGCCCCCAGGTGCATGGCACATGCACAGCCCCAACCCCCGGCGCGCGGCACTCCTTAGAGCTGCAATCAGGTGCCGCGCGGCCCCTGGCCCTGGGTGCACAGCACCTGATGGCAGCTCTAAGGGACACTGCGCAGCCCCCTGACCCCAGGCGCATGGCACCCCTTATAGCTGCCATCAGGCACCCCCCATAGGTTGGCGCCCCAGGCAGTTGTCCGGCTAGCTCCACCCCCGCCTTAATCTGGCCCTGCTGGTTTGGGAGATGGGAGGCAAGGGCCACAACTCTGTTTCCTTTCTTCTTGTATAGATGAGAAAGGGAATCTAGACCCTTTTTTTTTTTTTTTTTTTGTGGTAACAGAGTCCCGTGACGGGACTCACTGATCTACACATTTATATTCTTACTCTTTTTTGATTTCTCCTCAAGAGACATATTTTTAAATTGTTATAAGTGAGTGAGAAAGATGGAGTGCAGTGAATGTCTGAGACAGCTACAGCCATTCTAATAGTCCTCTTCTTTGTTGTGCATATTGGGTTGTGCATTGGAGACAGAAATGAAACAGTATCACCTAAAATCCTGTTCACTGTGGAGTCTGGATTTCAGCTAGTAATTCCTTCCTGCCTCTTCTTGATTTTCAAAGAAAACACGGTGAAATTTGTTTGGATGGCTCAGCAAAACATTTGATTTCCTTCCTTCCTTTGAGTGAACCAAATTGTAGTGAAGATTTTGTGGCTACCTCAAAGTAGTTAGTTACATGAAGTCAGGAATTCACTTAGGGTACGTCTACACAACAGTGTTATTTCGGATAACTGACATTATTTAAAGATATACCAAAATAACATAGTCTGTGTCTATACTAAGAGCAGGTTTTTTTACATAATATCGAAATAATGACAAGCTGGAGGATTTCTTACTCTGACTCCTGTCACCCTCATTTTACGAGGATTAAGGGAAGTTGGAGGAAGAGTGCTCTACCTCGAACTTCCTGCTGTATATACAGTGCCAAAAGTCGAAATAAACTATTTCAATTTAAGCTACACAATTTATGTAGCTCAAGTTGCATAGCTTATTTCGGCTGCAGCT